GCGGAGGCAGGAGACTCGCTTGAGCCCAGGAGCTGGAGGTTGGTGTGAGCTGTAATGCCACGGCACTCTGCCCAGGGGGACAGCTTGAGGCTCTGTCTCAAAAAAAAAAAAAAAAAGAATAAATACAATTATAAATTATAAAGACTCACAGAACAGGTGACATGTGAGCTGGATCTTGAAAGATGAGAAAGAGTTTGCCACGTGAAGATGGTACAGGAACGAAGGTTACAGATACATAAGGACCTCCCAAGCCTACCAAAATGTTTTCAAACTTGAATAAGATTGGGAAGTACTTGGAAAGTAAAAGTAAAGTTTAAGAATAAGATATTGACAAAACTTAATCAGCATTTAAGTGAAGTCAGAGACCTGGTTAGGGACTTGAGGGAATAAAAATAGTCTCATGCTTTTACATGTGTGACACATACCTTTTGAGGACTAAAGGTGTCCTGGTTGCTATTTCAGAAGAAGAAATAAGAAGATTCATTCTTTCTTTCTTTCTTCTTTCCTCCTTCCTTCCTTTCTTTCTTTCTTTCTTTTGTTTTTGAGACAAGGTCTTATTCTGTCACCCAGTCTGGAGTGCAGTACATGTCATAGCTCACTGCAGCCACCTGGGCTCCTTCTGCCTCAGCCTCCCAAGTGGCTTCCCCTTTATTCTTAAGCATTGGGATCTCCATAGGAATTCTGTTGCTTCTGGGTAAGGAGGCAGAGCTAACCCACTCATCCCCACCTGCCCACCAAATAATATAGATGGCAAATAAGCATATGAGAACTTGCTCAGTATCATTAGCCATTATGGAAATGCAAATCAAAACCACAATGAAAAAAAAAACACACAATGAAATACAACTGCACACTTAGTAAGATAACTCAAAAAAAAATTTTTTTTTTGAGACACAGTCTCACTCTATTGTCCCTGACTGGAGTATGGTGGTGTCATAGCTCACTATGACCTCAAACTCCTGGGCTCAAGTGATCCTCTTGCCTCAGCCTCCCAAGTAGCTGGAAATGGAGGCATGTACCACCATGCCCAGCTTGTTTCCTTCCTTCCTTCCTTCCTTCCTTTCTTTCTTCCTTCCTTCCTTTCTTTTCAGACAGAATCTCACTTTTTCACCCTTAATCAAGTGCTATGGCATCATAGCTCACAGCAATCTCAAACTCTTGGGCTCAAGCAATCCTCTTGCCTCAGCCTCCCAAATAGCTGGGACTACAGCCACCCATCACAACTCTTTTTTTTCTTTTTTTGAGACAGAGCTTCAAGCTATCCCCCTGGGTAGAGTGCCGTGGCATCACAGCTCACAGAAACCTCCAACTCCTGGGCTCAAGCGAGTTTCCTACCTCAGCTTCTCAAGTAGCTGGGACCACAGGCACCCGCCACAATGCCCGGCTATTTTTTGGATGCAGCCATCATTGTTGTTTGGCCGGCCCCGGGCTGGCTTCAAACCCACCACCTTAGGTGTATGTGGCTGGTGCCTTAGCCACTTGAGCCACAGGCACCGAGCCCCATCACAACTCTTGACTAGTTTTAGAGATGGGGGTCTCACTCTTGCTCAGGCTCACTCTTGCTCACTCTTCCTGAGCTCGAGAAATCCACCCATCTAGGCCTCCCAGAGTGCTAGGATTACAAGTGTGAGCCACCATACCCTACCAAAAAAAAATTTTTTTTAAACTGACAATACCAAATGTTGGCAAGGGTAGAGAGCAATATGAACTTACATACATGTCTGTTGGGCATGTAAAGTTATGTAGCCACTTTGGAAAACAGTTTGGCAATTTCTTTTTTTTTTTTTGAGACAGAGTCTCACTTTATTGCACTTGGTAGAGTGCTGTGGCATCACAGCTCACAGCAACCTCCAATTCCTGGGCTTAGGCAATTCTCTTGCCTCAGCCTCCCAGGTAGCTGGGACTACAGGCACCCACCACAATGCCCAGCTATTTTTTTGTTGTAGTTTGGCCAGGCCAGGTTTGAACCCACCAACCTCAGTATATGAGGCCAGTGCCCTACTGAGCCACAGGCACTGCCCAGTTTGGCAATTTCTTATAAAGTTAAACATACATTATACATATGACCCAGTATCCCATTTCTGAATATTTACTCAAGAGAAATGAAAGCCCCACTCAAAAACCACTATAATCCGTAAAAAAGACTTATACCCAGGTGCTTATGGTACCTTTATTCATAATAGCCCCAAACTGGGAATAACCAAATACCTATCAGCTGATGAATGGAAAAACAAACTAAACTAAAACATTCATCCAATGGAATACTATTTGACAATAAAAAGGAACAAATTACTATTATATGAATAGATCTCAAAGCATTATGTTAAGTGAGGCCAGTTGTGTAGCTCATGCCTATAATCCTAGCACTTTGGGAGAGTTAGGCAGGGGGACCACTTAGGGCTAGAGTATGAAGTTGCAGTGAGCTGTAATCATCCCAGTGCATGCACTCTGGCCTGGCCATATGATGTTATGTGAAAGAAGCCAGACCCAAAAGGCCATAGAGTGTATGATTCCAGTTATGTGATATTATGGAAAAGGCAAATCTATAGGGACAAAAATGAATTTGGTGGTTGCCAGAGGAGACGGGGTGGCTAATTGACTCCGAAGGCGTGTAACACGTAGGGGAATTTTTTGGAAGGTTGGAAATGCTCTACATACTATGTGTGGTAGTAATTAACCAATTAAATGTATTTATCATCAAGTCTCATCAAACTGTATAGTTAAAAAGGGGAATTTTGCTACATATAGATTATACCTCAACAAACTTATATAACAAAAGATTCCTCTAAACGTGTTACCCCAAAATCAGGCTCAGGAAGGTGACAGCCAGGATCCCATAGCTGCTCAGGGCTCTCCTTATGAAGAGCATGACTTGAAAACAAAGCCCATACCTGGTCAGATGCTTATGTTTTCCCCCAAAGTCAATCCTTATACTTCCATGCCTGCTTTTGGCTTCCAGCCCTGGGCAGGGCATGCTCTGACCAAGCTCTAATTTGGGGCACATAATCCTTATTGTTAACCCACTAACCTAGCCAATGTTTCTGGCCATGGGCTGAACGTGTGGGATGTTTGACCTGTCTTTGATACTCTCATCCTCTCTGCACTGGACAGTGTGGGCTCCTATGGTCCCTGAGAGTGTGTATGCCTATGGGGTCTCTCATTTCAGTGCTCCTGACATGGGTCAACTGTGCCAGTGTGCGGTGGGCCACCCGGGTGCAAGACATCTTCACTGCTGGAAAGCTCCTGGCTTTAGCCCTGATCATTATCATGGGGGTTGTGCAGATATGCAAAGGTGAGTGTCTTAGAAATGACAAGGCCAAACTCAATTCCCTCCCACCCCTTGTATACCCTGAGATTTCCCAATTTTGGTCTTGAGTGACTTCTCTTCTTTTTTTTGGCCGGAGCTGGGTTGGAACCCGCCACCTCCAGTATATGGGGCTGGCGTCCTACTCCTTTGAGACACAGGCGCCGCCCAGTGACTTCTCTTCTTCATCTCTCCTTGCTCGACAAAAGGGAAAAGAAACCATGTTCCCCAGGGTGGCTGGAAGCAGGGAATGTTCCCCCTAAGTGAGCAGGGAGAATGCTTCCCCATGCTCAGCTCATGGCCCCCACATATCTGGGTAAATACTCTGGCTCTCTGGACTCCTATTGCCCTTTTGTCCCCAACCCCAGTGAAGCTCCCTACATCTTAAAATGTGTATTGTCCATATAAAGTGGAGGACAGAGAAGGAGAATTTTATATGCTCCAAAATTACTTATAATCTCTGCAAGAGAGAGCTCTACATTCCCGGGGCCCCTGCCAACATTCCCCACTGGATTTGGTCCTTTCCAAGACCAAGTCTCTATTTGGTTTCCATGGGACCCAGGCACCACGAGGCTCTGCCTAGTGTCACTGCCTCATGGAGAAAGTCAGATGACAAACAGAGAGACCTCCCACCTGCCCACAAGCCCTGAAGGCAGTACAGAGAGTGCAGGTTTTTACTCGAAGAAATATAATTAAGTCCCAGCTATATAATGTGCCTGGTTATTTTAATCAGTTGGATTAAGTTCCTTAGCAGGTTATATTGTTTTCAGGAATTTAGACTTAAGGAAATCACTGTGCCGTCCTTTCAAAGATAGCAAGTCCCTCCTAATCTGGTTTCAATGGTTTTTCCTGGTCACTCTAATCTCCTCATTTCCTGTCTAAAGCTGGATTACAGGTGAATAAGTAACATATGGTCAGTTACCCTGTATTCTTAGTTGGCAACCTGTTTTGATGTCCTGCTGTGTGGGGACACTGTGGTAAGGGATAGGAAGACAATTTAAAAGCTCTTTGCTAAAGGACCCCTGGTGTCAAGAATCTATACCTTGAAAAGAGAGAACAAACACACACTTTAAAGAGATAGGAGGATATCAACAAAGAAAGCAAAACAACCTTGAACTAAACAACCTTGAACTAATACAGTGTTACAAAACCTTATATTTGAGAGTTTCTTGTTCATGATGTTTTCTTCATGAAAATGTACAAACTTTGACATTAGGGGAAGTGGTCAGGAGACTGCTAATGACTAATTTTATGTCCTTCCAAGTAACTGCCTTTTACTAAAAGGACATTCAGCACTGTGCTTTGAACCTGACTCCCCATTTGGGCTTATGGTTCTCAGGAGCCGGGAGGTTCTGGACCTATATTTCCCCTTCTCTAATACAATTGGGTTCACTGGAGACAAGGCAAAGAGGTGGCATTTTCACCATAGGAAGGAGTAAGAGACCAGCCAGGGCAGGCCAGGGGCTGTCGGTCTTTGATGTGCCTCTCGGAGCAGCCTCCTACTGCTTGTGTCCACAGGAGAATACTTCTGGCTGGAGCCAAAGAACGCATTTGAGAATTTCCAAGAACCTGACATCGGCCTCATCGCACTGGCCTTCCTTCAGGGCTCCTTTGCCTATGGAGGCTGGAACTTTCTTAATTACGTGACTGAGGAACTTGTTGATCCCTACAAGTGAGTTGAAATCGCCCAGCTCGTCCCCTCTCCCTTGATGGGCCACAGCACCTGCGGCTGGGAAGAGGGAGCAGGGGTGTCTGCTCCTCACTTCTCCTTCCCCAGCCCCATTCTGACTGTGATCAGGACTGTCCAGAAGTAATAGTTCATTTCTCAGGAACTTCAACCATTTGCCATCTACTCTGCCAAGAGGAGAAAAAGGATCCAGTGACAGTCCCAGAACAGATTAAAAGCTAAAGACCGTGTTGCAATTACACCACCGCCTTACAGAATGAACTTGCCCTAAGAGGCTTCTGGGCATCTTACCTGTGTCAGGACAGGCCAGTCTTTGTGTCTTTAGGCAGGGAGAAAGACGTACTGTGGAGATTCAGGTCAAGAGGAGATCAACGGGTGTGGAACATGTTTCCAACCTGAGCTGTTTCATTTTCTTTAAATAATTCTGCCCATATTGAAACAAAACCCACTTCCGAGGGAGAGGTAGCATCACAGGAGGCCGCAAGGTTAACCTTACACAGAAAAGGACCCCCTGGGCCCCTTAGCAAGGTGGGTGTCCCGGGTGCCAGCCCCCCTTTATCCCCTCTCCCTCCACAGGAACCTTCCCAGAGCCATCTTCATCTCCATCCCACTGGTCACATTTGTGTATGTCTTTGCCAATGTCGCTTATGTCACTGCAATGTCCCCCCAGGAGCTGCTGGCATCCAACGCAGTTGCTGTGGTAAGAAATCCAAGTCCCAGTCTCACACCCCAGGAGTACTGACATGGACTTGCCTATGTAGCCCCACTCACCTCTCCCCATCCAGGCATCCTGGAAGTGGAAATTACCCCATGTCTTCAGGGCAGAAACCATGGGTCCTCACTGGGGCATCTCCAAGTGCCCAGGGGTAAACCAGTGGCTAGAACAACTACAATGGCAGGACGGAGTCATTGCCACAGAGACTGCACAGTTCAAGAAGCTAAAATATGTACTATCTGTCCCTTTACGGAAAAAGTTTGCTGGCTCCTGATGTAGGGCACTTTGAACTCCAAATGTAAGGATGAGGATGGAGGAGACAGGCTCCTCCTCAGAAATACATGATATTGCACAAAGCCTGCCATTTCTTTCTGCCTGACTCCTTCCTTCAGCAGGGAAAAGTGGGTGCTAGTGAGCGATTTAGAAGTAGGAATGGGCTGTGCTCTTTGGGGAAAGATGTTGCACAGGTCCAAGAGCTGAGATCCTCATTACCCAAGAAAGACCTGGGAGCTATGTTGCCCCTTCGCCTGGTTTCAGGCTGGACCACCACCCCACCCTGCCAAACAATGGCTTCCCTGGTCTTATCTCTGAAGACTAAAGAAAAGAGGCCTTCTCCTTCCCTTCCCTCCCCACCCCTCCCCGCAGCCTGTTCCTATGACCAGCAGCCTGCCCCACTAATGTGAACCTGGCTCAGAATATGGAAAAGCTGGTCCTTGCCTTTCATAGTCTTTCAATACATGAAGACTAGTCTATAGCCTCACTGTCTGTTCTTTCTCAGCCTAAGTAGGGACTTGTTCTTATCATTTTACTCCCAATTCATCTGTTTCTGTTTCTGAATTTAGAAATTCTCACCCTGTGAATTAGAATTCACCCCAATTTTACAGATAGGAAACTGAGGCTTGAAAATTGCGAGCTTTGTTCAGGGTCTCAACGGTGCCTAGATGGAGGACTAGGATTTGAACCCACATTTGCCTGACTCACAAGACTGTGCCCCTTCCTCTGAAGAAATTATATATGTGAGGCCTGGATTCATACCACCTGGCTTCCAATCCTGGCCTCTCCGCTCCCCAGAGTGTGAGCTTAAGCAATCTGCTTAAATCACCATATGCCTCAGTTTCCTTGTTCATAAAACAAGAATAATAATTATTAATCATTAGTATTACCACCATGCACCATCTCCCTCAGTTAATTAGCCCAAAATATGTATTGGTGCCCACTGTGTAGCTGTTACTATGGGAAGCAGTGGTTCTTTCAGGGGGTCTCGAGGCACTTAGACAGAGGGAACAGGTGAGGGTGGGGATGGGAGAGAAGCTTCCCCAGCAAGGAGGTAAGAGCTGAAGGGCAGGGAGCTGTAACCTCTCCTTCTCTGCTTATCCCTTTGTTTTCTCTCTCAGACTTTTGGAGAGAAGCTCCTTGGGGTCATGGCCTGGATCATGCCCATTTCCGTTGCTCTGTCCACATTTGGAGGAGTGAATGGGTCTCTCTTCACCTCTTCCCGGTGAGTGCTGCCAGGGCCCTTCCAGGGCCAGGGGCTGCTCTGCTGTACACATTGCTCTACATGCATGTGGCAGGCTTGTCTGTGTCAGTGGGTCTGTGTGGGCACCTGGATGGGGGGCTTGCAGAGGGCTATTGCTCACGTGAGGTGTGCATGTCAGTGTGGACACTGACAGATGTGTGCTGCCCGTGTGGCCATCTAGGAAGTGTGTGGCATACAGATCCTAGGTGTTCTACATGTAGTGGCTTACCTCATTAAAAAAGGAGCAGAAGACTGAGAGGGCCCCTAGCCCGCCTGAGGCAGTCCTGGTCAAGGGCCGTGGATAGTAGCAGGACAGCATCTTGGCTGCAGTCCTTGAACCCCCATTTCCACTCACCTGGAAAGAGGCTACTGCTGACTAGCAAGGGACCCCACTCTGAAAGGGAAGAGGAGGAAGATTTATGCCTGGGGCCTCTGGATCTGGCCTCCCGTGGAGGTTCTAGGACCAGGTTGCAAGGGGATGGGATCACTACGATGGCCCTGAGGATCCTCCTCCCTGCTCAACAGATGGCTGTGAAGGCCTTTGTGGGGCCACCCAGGAGACTCGGCTGGAGAATGTGGAGTGAGAGAGAGGGTGGGGAAGAGTGGAAAGAAAAGTATCTCCAGGGCGGTGGCTGTGGCTCAAAGGAGTAGGGCGCCGGCCTCATATGCCGGGGGTGGTGGGTTCAAACCCAGCCCCGGCCAACAATTGCAAAAAAAAAAGAAAATTATCTCCAAAGAGAAAGCCTTTCATCTGTGAGCTCCACCCACAACTCTCTGGGAAGCCAGAAGCAGGAGTGGGTCCAGGAGTCCCAGCTCCTGCCTTCACACATCCAGGGACCTAGCCCCTCCCTCGTGTCCCTTCTTGCTATCTTCAGAATGGGCTGGTGAGGCTAGCAGATGTTACATTTGCGTGATTCAAGGAGTCTTCCCAGGATTCTTAGAAGCCCCCATCCCTTAGGACATAAGTCCTGCACAAAAGATGAGTCCCTGAGTTCAGCTGCTTCCAATGCCACCCCATCAGAGAGGAGTTCCTGTGAAATGACAAGGAAGTGCCATGTTTTTAGTACCCAGGGCAGGAAGGAGATGTGGGGGTGTTCCCGTACCCCAGGACCCTCGTGACACTCACCCACAGCAACCTCATGTGCATGTTACACAGGAGCAGTGGCCACCTGGAGGCTCCAGCCAAGGGCGAGCAGTGGAAAAGCAGTGACCCATGAGGCTCCTGGGGATCTATTGGAGGAGAGTGACTGGCTGCAGTCGCTTTAGAGTGGGGTCTGTCTCTCAGGCAGGCCAAGCAGTGGTCTGCATGCATGTGGCATAGCTGTGTGTGCATGCAGGAGATGGTGGCGCATGGTGTGCCTGGCCCCTGATTCAGAGGCGAGACCTCAGCCACCCAGGCCTCCTCTGCTCATCTCCCTAGTTCCTTCTTTCTTGTTACCTCCTTCCCTCCTTTTCTCTTTCTCTCTTGTGTTCTGGAGTGTGGAGAGGATGGTCCTTCCTGAGGAGTCAGAGTGTGTGGGGGTGCTAAATGTCATTGTCTCCTCTGGTGTCGGCTAGCTGGGCCAGGATTAGCTCATGTGAACGTGACACTTATAAATGCTGTCGGATCTGGATGATTCCATTGGTCCTGGCTGCATGTGGAGGAAGGACGTGAATGCTGGGCCTTGGCTGTGTGCATGATGAGGCCCACAGAGCAGCTGGGGCTCAGTCTGGTGCATGAGGCTACATTGTAGAGGGGCAGTAGCATGGGGGTGGGGGGTAAGGATGTGTGTGGCTGCATGAAACAGTGACATTAGCCTAGGTAGTTCATGATGGTCACTGCTCATAGATGCTTGGGGCATAGTCACCTCCCACACTTCTGATGAGCTGCACCACTCCACCCTGTACACAAATTACAAAGTAAATAACAATTCTCTTCAGGGTTCCCAGTGTGCTCAATCTGTGCTCTCTGTCCCCTTCACATTGTCCCCTTCCTCTTGTCCCTTGAGTGTTCCTTTCCCTAAAACGGGAAATTGTCTAATTTGCACTAATATGTAAATGAATGCTAACAACTTATAGTATTCTCTTTTTTCTTAGGAGAAGGGGGAAGTCCTCCTTTTATGTTAAAATTTCTCTTTTTTATTGATATACAATAGATGGACATATTTTTAGGGTACATGTGATATTTTGAGACATTTACATAATGTACAAAGATCAAATCAGGGTACCAGGATATCTATCAACTTAAATATTTATCTTTATGCTAGGAACATTTAAATTATTTAATTTTTTTTTTGAGACAGCGTCTTGCTATGTCACCCTTGGTAGAGTGCTGTAGTATCACAGCTCACAGCAACCTCAAACTCTTGAGCTTAAGCAATTCTCTT